GCAGCTGCGCACAATTCTGTGAGTTACTTATAACCGCTTTGCTGTTACTTATTGCTAATTATGGACCCAGACGATTGTCCTATAATCTCAGAGTCCCTGGCATGTAATAATACGCTACACAGTGGCAGTTGGGGTCGCAAAATGCTCAAAAACCCCAATAATCCGATCAAAATTAGGGATTTCGATCGGATCATTAGGGGGGCACGTGCCACCCACCCCCCACCCCCCCTCCCCCCCCCCCACTGGCTCTGCATGCGGCCCCCTAACTCGTTGCATCTCGGAAGCTTCGCAGGGCATTGGAGTCTGGTTAGCGCATATCCCAAACCCGTCAACCCCTTACCAGTGCCAACTTGTTACAGACCAAATCAGCCCTCGTTGGTCACCCCACCCCCCCCCCCCCCCCCGTGTCCTTCTAAATCTCAACGTTCATCCTAACAAGTCCCATCACAATGGAGAAACACAAATAGACCACAAACAAAAAACAGTGTTGTTGCCCGTATTGAAACGGCTGTACACCGTGTCGACCCCGAAATCTCAATTTCCCTGCACAAGGTTACGGCTAAGCCGTTTTGGCTTGACCGCTGTAGATTCGCCGCCACCGAATGAATCTGTGATGGAATGATAAATCACGTCGCCTCAGGCCCTGTTTTAGGCCCATATATGGTGTAATTAAGCGTGGCTTTGCCTAATATAAGGGAATATGCTGGAACGTGTTTTCAACGAGCTGGATCAAACGGGGACCCGGATCGAGTAAGGAGTTGTTAGTAAGGAGTTGTTAGTAAGGAGTGTTAGAAAGGAGCTATTAGTAAGGAGTTGTTAGCAAGGAGAGTTGTTAGTAAGTAAGGAGTTGTTGGTAAGGAGTTGTTAGTAAGGAGTTGTTAGTGAGGAGCTGTTAGTAAGGGGTTGTTAGTAAGGAGTTGTAAGTAAGGAGTCTCAGGCCCTGTTTTAGGCCCATGTATGGTGTAATTAAGCGTGGCTCTGCCTAATATAAGGGAATATGCTGGAACGTGTTTTCAACGAGCTCGATCAAACGTGGGCCTGGATGGAGCTGAGATGTTTCCGAGGTGCACCTTTTTGAAAAATCGCTCCCAGTGAGTCCTGTCACGTGACTTCCTCCTGCATTCAAGCAACTTGATCATCCACCCCGTCGCGGATTCGCTGTGTCCTGCTGCAGCTCTTTTTTGCCGTTTCGGGGCACAAGAGACGGCAGCACTCGGGCAGCAGAAGTGGGGGCCCGTGGTGGATATTGAATCCACCTGTGCGGCACGTCCACCCAGCGTTAGCGCCCCCTCTCGCGTAACAAAACAAAACAAAAAAAATAACAAAAATTGCGTGCTGGGTTTCCTCCTCCTAGCTGCATCCCGCTCCAACGCCGGGAAGGGCCGCCGTCTTTGCCCGAAACGTCGCGCGTTAAAAATGCGCTTCCCTTTCTGTGTTTTTGCACGTTACCCTTTGGCGGCCGCGATGTTCGGAGAGGGGGGGGGCCTGCCCCGCCATCTCCGTCCCGTCTCTGCCGTCGAGGAGCCAATTCTTCGCCACATTTCACGGACGGCCGAAACTTGAGAAGGCGCACAGATGGCGAGACGCAAGACACAGTCAGGAGAACGTAAGCCGCCACGCGCACCACGTTGCGAACCGACGGTCGAAGGTTGCGCACCAGGTAAGATTCAACAACAATCCCGTCGCCGCAAAATTAATTAATTCCAACTCGTGGACACCGCACGCGCGGCCGAGGGCCTTTGATGATGGCCTCCTCCTCCCCCACCAACAACTTTCCAGTTGCCGTGCCCACCAGGGCCAGCAGCGCTGGGGTTTTAGCTACGGGAACGACTCGGTCGATTCAGCCCAGAGGGGGAGGGGGGGGGGCTCAAGCAGCTAAAGTCCCCGCTGCGTGTGTCTGCGGACCACCCGCCAACAACATCCAGCCCACACCTCGCCAGATTCATCTCTCGGCCCCCATCAATAGCACCCTAAAGCCCCCTGAAACACCCCCTACACCCTGAAACTCCCCCTCCCCCTAAAACTCCCCCTCCCCCCTAAAACTCCCCCTGAAACTCCCCCTCCCACCTGAAACTCCCCCTCCCCCTAAAACTCCCCCTAAAACTCCCCCTCCCCCCTGAAACTCCCCCTGAAACTCCCCCTCCCCCCTGAAACTCCCCCTCCCCCCTAAAACTCCCCCTCCCCCCTGAAACTCCCCCTCCCCCCTAAAACTCCCCCCTCCCCCCTAAAACTCCCCCTCCCCCTGAAACTCCCCCTAAAACTCCCCCTCCCCCCTAAAACTCCCCCCTCCCCCCTGAAACTCCCCCTCCCCCTAAAACTCCCCCTCCCCCCTAAAACTCCCGCTCCCCCTGAAACTCCCCCTCCCCCCTAAAACTCCCCCTCCCCCCTAAAACTCCCCCTCCCTCCTGAAATTCCCCCTCCCCCTAAAACTCCCCCTCCCCCTGAAACTCCCCCTCCCCCCTAAAACTACCCCCTCCACCCTAAAACTCCCCCTCCCCCCTAAAACTCCCCCCTCCCCCCTGAAACTCCCCTCCCCCCTAAAACTCCCCCTCCCCCCTGAAACTCCCCCCTAAAACTCCCCCCTGAAACTCCCCCTCCCCCCTAAAACTCCCCCTCCCCCCTGAAACTCCCCCTCCCCCCTAAAACTCCCCCTCCCCCCTAAAACTCCCCCTCCCCCCTAAAACTCCCCTCCCCCCCTAAAACTCCCCCTCCCCCCTGAAACTCCCCCTCCCTCCTGAAACTCCCCCTCCCCCCTGAAACTCCCCCTCCCCCCTGAAACTCCCCCTCCCTCCTGAAACTCCCCCTTCCCCCTGAAACCCCCTCCCCCTGAAACTCCCCCTCCCCCCTGAAACTCCTCCTCCCCCCTGAAACTCCCCCTCAAACTCCCCCTCCCCCCTGAAACTCCCCCTCCCCCCTGAAACTCCTCCTCTCCCCTGAAACTCCCCCTCCCCCTGAAACTCCCCCTCCCCCCTGAAACTCCCCCTCCCCCCTGAAACTCCCCCTCCCCCCTGAAACTCCTCCTCCCCCCTGAAACTCCCCCTGAAACTCCTCCTCCCCTCTGAAACTCTCCCTCCCCCTGAAACTCCCCCTCCCCCCTGAAACCCCCCCTCCCTCCTGAAACTCCCCCTGAAACTCCCCCTCCCCCCTGAAACTCCCCCTCCCCCCTGAAACTCCCCCTCCCCCTGAAACTCCTCCCCCCTGAAACTCTCCCTCCCCCTGAAACTCCCCCTCCCCCCTGAAACTCCCCCTCCCTCCTGAAACTCCCCCTCCCCCTGAAACTCCCCCTCCCCCCTGAAACTCTCCCTCCCCCTAAAACCCCCTCCCCCTGAAACTCCCCCTAAAACTCTCCCTCCCCCCTAAAACCCCCTCCCCCTGAAACTCCCCCTCCCCCCTGAAACTCCCCCTCCCCCCTGAAACTCCCCCTTGAAACTCCCCCTCCCCCCTGAAACTCCCCCTCCCCCCTGAAACTCCCCCTCCCCCCTGAAACTCTCCCTCCCCCTGAAACTCCCCCTCCCCCCTGAAACTCCCCCTCCCCCCTAAAAACCCCCTCCCCCTGAAACTCTCCCTCCCCTCGATACCACGTGGAGCATTTCTGCGCCACGTGCCTCTCAAATTCGCCATCTTTACTCGATCCACCACCCACCGACTCGCTCACCCATCTTCACTCGACCACTCCAAGTGGTTCACCCACTCACCGTCTCACTCACCCACTCATTAATTCACCCACTCACTGATTCACCCACTCATTAATTCACCCACGCATTAATTCACCCACTCATTAATTCACCCACCCACCGTCTTAATCATCCACTCACCCATCTTCACTCGACCACTCCAAGTGGTTCACCCACTCACCGTCTCACTCACCCACTCATTAATTCACCCACTCACTGATTCACCCACTCATTAATTCACCCACCCACCGTCTCAATCATCCACTCACCCATCTTCACTCGACCACTCCAAGTGGTTCACCCACTCACCGTCTCACTCACCCACTCATTAATTCACCCACTCATTAATTCACCCACTCACCGTCTCACTCACCCACTCATTAATTCACCCACTCACTGATTCACCCACTCATTAATTCACCCACCCACCGTCTCAATCATCCACTCACCCATCTTCACTTGATCACTCCAAGTGGTTCACCCACTCACCGTCTCACTCACCCACTCATTAATTCACCCACTCATTAATTCACCCACTCACCGTCTCACTCACCCACTCATTAATTCACCCACTCACTGATTCACTCATTAATTCACCCACCCACCGTCTGATTCATCCACTCACTGATTCACCCACCCATTTCACCATCTTCAACTCACCCACCCGCCATCTCACTAAAGTCAACCCACTCAACTTTTGCCGATTCATTCTAGATTTGAAGCTTTCGTGACTGCAAGGATTCATACTCTGTTTTTTTTTCTCGGTAAAGTCACGTAGGTAAAATGTAATAAATGAAAACAGCTGTGTCAAGCGATACAGCCATTTTGTTGTGACTGTTCCACCTGAAGGCGGAAGCTTGTGTTGCCTCCGAAACGTCGTGATTTCATTTAGTCGTTTCATTTATTTTATTGTACCTACGTCGTGACTTTACCGAAAAAAACAAAGATTATCTTGCCAATTAGCCTCCACACACAAAATAATCCAGCAACTCAATCATCTATCCACTCTGCCCCACACCATCTCACCCAGCCACGAGACTTCTCCCCTGCTCTCCAGAGACCTCACCTGCGGGATAAACTAGTTGTTGTCGTAGTTTTATTGATGTTGTTGTTGGTATTATTAAACGATATAAATCCGTGAGCCTATCAGTGCGAAAGTTAGCAGATGCCACGTGGTCGCTGTCTCCGTGGGCGTGGTCGCTGACCCCCGTGGGCGTGGTCGCTGCGCCCCGTGGGCGTGGTCTCTGCCCCCCGTGGGCGTGGTCGCTGTCCCTATCCCTATGGGCGTAGTCTCTGCCACTCTGGGCGTGGTCGCTGTCTCCGTGGGCGTGGTCGCTGTCTCCGTGGGCGTGGTCTCTGCTACCGTGGGCGTGGTCTCTGCCATCGTGGGCGTGGTCTCGCTCGTCCACTTCCGCTTCGCTCGCTGCTGTCACGTTTCCGAGATGATATCCGACCTGCTCCTCTTCGGGTAAACAAACCTCTGCCTACTCTTCCTCCCCCTCCTCCTCTCCCTCGTCATCTTCTTGCACCACCTCGTCTAATCCCACCCTTCTCTTGCCGTCTCTCCACGCTGTCCAGGATATCCGACTTGCATCCTCTCCGGGCAAATCACCCCTCTGCCTACTCCTCCTCCTCCTCCTCGTCGTCATCATCACCATCTAGCGCCACCTCGTCTAATCCCACCCGTCTGCCCTTCTCCCCTCTTCTCTCTCGTTTGCCCCAGGACCCTGCTGGTGAACGCGGGAGCGGTGCTCAACTTCAAGCTGTGAGTCGTCCACGGGGAGGAGGAGGCCTCGGGTTTTGTATTCCGCAGTGCTGTTGGGTGTTGTTGTTGTTAGTTTAACACGTAGTCAGGCTTTCGCGAATGACATCATGTTTTTATGTTGGTGGGGGTGAGATCGCGTAAATTTGTAAATGTGTCGTTACCCGACAGCCAATTGGTAACAAATCTTGGCTGTCGCCTGATGAAGCTGGTTGTGATTACTGGCGAAACGTCGTACACAGATTGTAAATGTCGTGGCTTGGCTCTCCAACACACCGGTGTAGTGCTGTACTAGTACACTACACTATACACTACACTTTACACTACACTATACACTGCACTATACACTACACACTAGTGCTGTACTAGTACACTATACTATATACTACACTATACACTACACTATACACTACACACTAGTGCTGTACTAGTATACTACACTATACACTACACTATACACCACACTATACACTACACTATACACTACACACTAGTGCTGTACTAGTATACTACACTACATACTAGTGCTGTACTAGTATACTACACGATACACTACACTATACACTACACTATAACTACACTATACACTACACTATACAGTACACACTAGTGCTGTACTAGTATACTACACTATACACGATACTATACACTACACTACATACTAGTGCTGTACTAGTATATTACACTATACACTACACTATATACTGGTGCTGTACTAGTATACTACACTATACACTACACTATACACTCCACTATACACTACATTATATACTAGTGCTGTACTAGTATACTATACTATGCACTACATACTAGTGCTGTACTAGTATACTACACTATACACTACATACTAGTGCTGTACTAGTATATTACACTATACACTACACTATATACTGGTGCTGTACTAGTATACTACACTATACACTACACTATATACTGGTGCTGTACTAGTGACGAATTGGCCACGTTCTGTTTACGTGACAAACCCCTTACTAGCTGGCTGTGTCGGGTGGTGGCGGGTTTAACCACACATTTATTTATTTACGCGATCTAACCCACAAATAAACCTCTGTTATGCTGTTGTTGATGTTGTTGATGTTGTTGATGAGTGGGGAGCGGTGGCGCAGCGGTGAGCGCTACCAACCCCGGGGCGACCCGAGTTCGATTCCCGCTCACGGCCACCAACGCCGGTGATGATCCTGGGCCTCCCCTAGGTCGACTCAGCCCCAAACGAGCACCTGGTTTGGTGTGGAAAAACATCCACCACGAGGGGAGGCGAATCCGGCTGGGCCCTCCCCTAGGCTGACTCAGCCTCAAATTGTTACCTGGTGCGGTGTGTGTAAAACATCGACCACTAGGGAGACAAAGGCGGCCGGGCGTGGTGCTGGCCACCCACCCACTCGTGTGCCACAGTGCCGGCCTTCATTGGTGCTGCTACTCGCCATAACAGCACTTGCCCCAACAGTCGGTTAAGGCTACACGGGGGATCTTTGTCTTTGTTGTTGATGTCCGGATTCTAAGACGCACCACCCAGCCTATAAATTTTGACTTTGTTCTTTCGGTAAAGTCACGTCGATAAAAAAATAAAGTAATAAATGTAAATAACAAAAATAATAAATAGAAAATAATAAAAACAAAAAACCCACAATAAAAAATAAAAATAGTAAAATAAACTTAAAAAGAAAATGATTTAAATAATAAAAAAATTGCCTTTCAATAATTTCATTCATAATATTCATAATAAAGGTTTTTGGGTTAGATCGCGTTATTTATAAATGTGTCGTAACCCTCCACCACCCGACCCAATGCTAATTTAATATTAACATTTTTATTTGATTTTACTTTTTTAAATTTTTATTGTGGGTTTTTTGTCTTTATTATTTTCAATTTATTTTTAATTTAATTTTTGATTTCTATCTACGTGACTTTACCGAAAGAACCAAGAAATATGAGCACCCAACCAATATTCTTGGTTCTTTCGGTAAAGTCACGTAGAAGGGAAACAATAAAATATTGTTTTATATTTTTTATTATTTTATTGTTTCCCTTCTACGTGGTGACTTTACCGAAAGAACCAAGAATATGAATCCCTGCAGTCACGAAAGCTTTAAATCAAAATTTCACCCAACCAATGTTTTAGAATGTTGGGCTGGGGAGGGGAGTGCCTCTTAGAATCTCGTACGTGTCAAATAGACCTTGGAGTCATCAAACAGATTATAAGCCGCACCGCTTTTGAGTGCAGTTCGTCTTATAATCACCAATGTGTGCGTGTTGAACGGGTGGGGGTACATCATGTCCACGCTGGTTTCTAGCACGGGCTGATCTTGGTGTTTCTACCCGTGGCACTTAGTGGAAAAGTGCACCGGGCCAGGCAGATATTGGCCCATCATGTGCCGCTGGATGATGGGTACACTGCACTGCATTTGCGTGCTGTATCGTTCACTGCGCCATCAAAGACAAAACGGAACCGCAGCCCACCCCTTTTCCACTGGCACATCCGAGCCGCGCCGGTGCCGAGCCAAGCCAGCCACGGCAGGGCTCACGAGGCCGGCAGGTAGTTTTTCGACTGCAGAAGCCGAGCCGTGCCGCACCCGCTGTAACGGACTGCCGGGACAAGTGCCGTTAGCGAGTAGCGGCACCTATGGAGGCTGGCGCTATGGCACGCCTTTGTCTTCCCCACCGTACCAGGGGTGCTCATTTAAGGTGAAGTCGAACCTATGGGAGGCCCAGGACCGGATCTCAGATTAATCGTCACTGTGGTGTTAGGCCGTGAGCGGGAATCGAACTAGGGATCGCCGGGTTGCGTAGCGTAGCGTAGCGCTAACCGCTGCTACACCACCGCCCCCTGCAGCATCGCGTCGACAACAACCGCCATTCGCCACTTAGTGGCGGTGACATCACCACGGCGCATGTGCCAGGCTAGGTGCACTTTGAGGCCACGTGAACTGTTGAACACCCGCCGACGAGGTCACAGGATAGACCCAGGTGCCATGGGTTGACTGAGATGACTGGTACATGCTGCACCACCTGTGCCCCGTCCTGTGCCAACTTGCTGGGTTTTCTCCGCTCGTTGCGAGCGTCGCTCCGCTGCCCTCCGTTGTTGCTGTAGTAGCGTCCTTCGCGAGCCTCCTCCACAGCATCGCATCTCCCACAGTGCGACATACACACACACGCACAGCGCCTATCGCGCGCCGTCAGTTGTCAAGGCCACGGGGGTTTTGTTTTATGAGCCAAAGTCCCCATCTGGTGGTGTCTGCAGGCATTTCATTGTTGTCGCGTTTCCACCACCACCACGTAAGAGCGAGCATAAACGAGGCGGAGTGGGCGCCGCAGTGGCTAGGAGATGTTGACTACCTCGCCTGGTAGACAGGAGGTCGTGGGTTCGATCCCGACCCTGATGCCTGCTGTGTATATTTTGACTTTGCGTGTCTCTCTCACCGTGGTCGCGTGGATTTTTCTCCGTGCCCTCCAGGTTTTCCCCGTCCACATTTAGAATCGCGCGTTTAGAGCATTTGGCTGCTGCTATAAATTTTCACGTGATGAGCCAACTTCGTTGAGCTATTATTTGTGATGGCCAGGTCACTTGTAAAAAAAAGAGCTACAATAGCTCAGCGGGCCTTACCTGGTAATATAAAAAAAATGTTTAGTTTAGATTCCCCTGCTGCAGATCTCGACCCGGCACCGACCAACAACTGTGGACCAAATTTGGCAAAATATTTAAAACTTTCCCGCGAAAAAATACAACTTCGGGGTGCGTTTGTCGCACAGTTGCAGAGGATCGTAGTTCGAATCCAGGGGCTGCCGTGATTTATACTGTAGGTGCACAAACCAAAATAATATGGATCATCTGCATCATAGTATGTATGTATGCTGGAATTATTTCGCATTATACGTAGCCAACCGTGCTAATCGGAATTCCGGGGGAAGGACAACAAACTAGATGGTTTAAAAGTGCGTAGCTCCATTGCCTTCCTGATATCGGAAGGAAGAGCGTTCCAGACGGCCGCAGAAGCGCATGTGAACGCGCCGCGCGATGCGGTGACCACCGGCTTTGTTTGATGGCCAGCCAAAAGCCGAGGCTGCTGGTACGAGGAAGACCGGAGTTCACTTGATGATGGATCAGGTTCCTTGACGAGATCAGCAAGACCAGTGATATCCTTCGCAAGCATACGCCGCTGTGCGCTGTGGTGGGCACTCAAAAAAAATTGTAGAAAACAACACGCAAATTAAATGAGTCGGAACATGCATGGCAATCATCGCCCCCTCCCCGCCTTCTGCGAAAACTTAGCAGGACCCTCCTGATGAAGTTATGACGCTTGGTCAGGTTTACATATTCTTAGCTCTTTCGGTAAAGTCACGTTGAAGGGAAACAATAAAATAATAAAATATATAATAAAAATGTTTTATTGTTTTGTATATATTTTATTATTTTATTGTTTCCCTTCAACGTGACTTTACCGAAAGAGCTAAGAATATGAATTACTGCAGTCACGAAAGCTTTAAATCAGGTTTACATAGTGTATTAAAAACACGAAACAGAGCAACATCACTCCCTGCTGGCAGACTTGATGGCCCATCACCCCGTGTGCCACGTGGGGTTGGTTGGGGTTTGGCCGGACAGTCGCAGGTTACATAGGCTGTGACGTAAGGTGATGATGGTATCTCGTGCGACGCAAGCTCCACGCTTGTTCAGAATATTTGTTTTTATTTATACTGGAGGCAAGGCCGTAGCCATGGAGTGAACATTGGGGGGGGGACCAAATCTTCCAGGGTGTCTGGGGGTCCCAACCCAGAAAAATATCAAAACTTGAAAACTCATTTCCTGCCTAAAATATTAAAAAATTCACTAACACACAGGATGGACTTTTTATTTATGTTTTACAATAATGTCTAATAGTGTTATTGTATTACATTGCTCTGTTTTAACCTTTTTTTACCATTTCTTTGTTTCATTGTATGTAATGGCAAAGATTAGGGATTAATAAAGTACAACCATAACCACAATCATATAAACATAAATCTATGCATTGATTTATATGAAGACAAGTCCAGATATTGTGGCCAAGGTTCAGCAAATTGTTGTTTTTATTTACATAGCATCGCGATTTTTATTTTTTTATAGCATAATATTGGGGGGGACATTTTCAGCATATTGAATATTGGGGGGGGGGGGTGGGGGGAACCCCCAATATTTATTATAATTACGGCCTTGACTGGAGGAATCCGATGAGCTGTAAAGCTCTCTTTCACAGATGCACAGTAGTAAAACCACGATAGCAGTGAAAGGTACAAGAAACGTAAACACATTGCCCGAAAACATACAATTACAAACGAAGCCATCCCCATCCTACCAGACTAAGCCCACTGAGGTTTTAACTTATTTTTTCAGCAGCGACCTGGCCACACACCGTGTTTATCCTGAGAAACAAACCTGAGACTCGGTGAGGTCATCCCTGCGTTGCGCCATGATGAATGCTGTGGAGCGTGGGAATAAAAAATGTCAGTCTTCTCTGTTGTTAGGAAACGAAAGGAGTTGGTGCAAGGGTTCGGAGCAGATACGGTGGAGCACACAACCGGTGAGACGCACGCACGCACACAAAGATCCCCCATATAGCCTTGACAGACTGTAGGGGCAAATGCTGTTAGCGAGCACCTATGAAGGCCGGAACGGTACACGAGGGGGTGGGTGGCCAGCACCACGCCCGACCGCCTTTGTCTCCCTAGTGGCAATGTTTACACACCGCACCAGGTACTCATTTGAGGCTGAGTCGACCTAGGGGAGGCCCGGGACCGGTTCAGATAATCCTCACTGGTGTTGGCCGTGAGCGGGAATCGAACCCGGGTCGCCAGGTTCATAGCGCAGCGCGCTAACCGCTACACTATCGCTCACACACACACACACACAGTCTCACACACACACGCGCACACACACACAGGAACACCACAACGCCCATGACCACGCACAAAGATCCCCCGTGTAGCCTGTAACAGACTGTAGGGGCAAGTGCTGTTAGCGAGCACCTATGAAGGCCGGAAGGGCACACGAGGGGGTGGGTGGCCAGCACCACGCCCGACCGCCTTTGTATCCGCAGTGGCGATGTTTACTACACACCGCACCCAGGTACTCGTTTGAGGCCGAATCGACCTAGGGGAGGCCCCAGGACACGGTTCAAATAATCCTCACTGGTGTTTGCCGTGAGCAGGAATCGAACTCGGGTCGCGACGTTTGTAGTGCGGCGCGCTAACCGCTACACTACCGCTCGCCATAATGACCGTGCATGCACACGTGTGCACTTGCGCGCGCACACACGCACACACGCACACACACACACGCACACACACACACACGCACACACACACGCACACACACACGCACACACACGGACCACCCCCTCGTGCGCTGTGCCGCCCTGAATAGATGCTCGCTTTACAGCACATGCCCCCACGGGCTTGTATAGTAGGCCAATACGTGGGGGGGGGGGGGGATCTTGATCTGTGTTGCGTGTGCGTGTGTCCGTGTGCAGGCGATGGCATTCGCGAGTTTCTGCTGAGTCTGCGCTACTTCCGGATATTCATCGCCATGTGGAACATCCTCATGATGCTCTGCATGGTCGTGTGAGTTAACTCCTTGAGCGAGCATCGCTGATCATCGAGTCAGAGGGCTATAGCCTGCGACTCGCAGTCATAAAGGTCGCAAGTTCAAATCCTGGTTAGGGGGGGGGGGTTGACTCGGCCCCATCATTCTTCCGTGGTCAATAAAACGGCACCACTTCATGGGGCACTCTCACACCACGGTTGTCGCATGGCTATACTTTCACCCCCCCCGTCTCCGTCGTAGGAATGTGGAATTTACACCACTGGCTTGAAGCTGTAACCAGGGGCTGAGCACCCGGCGGTAGCACCTATGCCGCTTGAGGCCGCCCCGGTTAATGCCGCGACGTCACTCGAAGAAGAGCAGGCCATCGCATGCCGGCGTCACGCGGACCACGTTTTAAAATGTTTACCTATTTGGGAAACGTGCAGCAATCGAAAAATATTAATTAATCCGCCAGGAAGGCTTTCCTGGGAACACGAGCATAAGAATATTTATATTTAATTGTTATTATTATCAATATAACAATACCTGCCTTGATGAGCAAGCATTGTAGATGTGTAACGGAATGACGGTGGCCGGCGAAAGGTGCTTGACGGTTGGCGGCGATAAAATGATTGCGCTCCGTCACCCCCCCCCCCGTTGTGTTGGTCTCGTTCCAGGCTGTTTGGTTCGTAGCGGAGACATGGGCGCCATCACCCTCCGGCCCCCGTACCCTCTCCTCTCGCCGGTCTCGCCGAGCCTCTCCCGGTTGCCCCCGCCCCCACCCGGTTAGATTTAGCGCCACCGAACACCCGAGCCCAGCCCTGTCCCCGGAAAGGTCCGGTGCCGATTTTGGCTTTCCTCCTCGCTTTTTATCGAATACAATAGGGCCGCTCGCAGCTGCACCTTCCGAAGAAGATGAAGGGCATTTTTTTTTTTCCGACCAAACGCCGACAGAATCGCGCCGTTTCGCCGGGCCGAGTGCCACGGCTGACGGAAGTCGACGATGAGAAGTTGCCGTCTGCGAGGGCTTTCATTTTGATATCTTGTCGCGCGCAAGATTAGAATAGAAGCAGCTGACGTCGCGTCGCGACATCGTAACCCCGACGCACGTGACCGCTAATTCGCATCCCTCCTGATGACCTCTCTCGTCAACTCTCTCATCTCTTGTTCATGCATTTTCCATTCCGAACTGCCTAACGCAATGCAATCCGCCAGACAGTTCCTGCGATTCCCACCCCGCCGTAGCTGCTCGCCCCGTGAGTTTACGAAGCCTCAGTCATCACTTCAATAAAATGAACGTGTCGTTGCCACATACCCGGAGCGCACGAGTGACCTCGACTCGCCCGAAAGCCAAACTAAAACTCGTGGCGAGCAGCAGAACGGGCGGTTCGGCACAAACCATTTGCTGTACCGCACTTCTATGCTTCCATGCTGAAGTGGATGCCAAGTAACCGTCACAGGGGGCGATGGGGGAGGGAATTAATTCCACGGTGGAGCAGTGCGAGGGAATAAGTAGAAAAGTGAGGTGGCTTGCAGTGTGGTAAGCGGGTTGGTGGGTGAATGAGACGAAACAGTCATCGTCTAATAGACCCGAGTCCACAACATGAGTGGATGAATCAACGAGTGAAGTTTACGGGGACGGCCACCATTGTGGCAGCGTTAGCAAAGTGGTGAGGAGGCGGCTGACCGCCGGCGGGTGACTGGAGCGAATCGGCGAGTGGCAGATAATCAATTCTGATCTGGTAACGACAAGATGACAGCTGTTTAGGTTCCATTTTCAATTTAGGTGAAAGATTCGAGGGCACTGCCCGGACGCGTGAAACGCTGAAAGCTTCCATCGCTCAACGCGTCCGAACGCGCCATCGTTTGACGCACGTGAAGCCGTTTGCGTGGTGGTGACGGTTATCCCTGCGCACTTTTGTGTCGGAGCTGTCCCTGTAGCAGCGACTACCTTCGAGGTCAATAAAACGAAACTCCCAAGATGCGTTCATGCCGCACACGTTGATTCGCGACCCACGTCGCAACCGGCTCGGTGGCTCAGCGGTGCGGCGAGCAATCGGTGAAGGGTCGAGAAGCTGGTGGTTCTTGGCGAGTCATATCGGCCAGATTGCGCTGGGATAGGTGACCACCATCCGTGAGACTCCAGTGGTGTCTGACGGTTGTTGTCGGGTTAGGTGTTGTGTAGGGTTAGGTGTTGTAGGTGTTGTGTTGTGTAGGTGTTGTGTTGTGTAGGTGTTGTGTAGGGTTAGGTGTTGTGTAGGGTTAGGTGTTGTGTAGGTGTTGTGTAGGGTTAGGTGTTGTGTAGGGTTAGGTGTTGTGTAGGGTTAGGTGTTGTAGGTGTTGTGTATGGTTAGGCGTTGTGTCGGTGTTGTGTAGGGTTAGGTATTGTAGGTGTAGTGTTGTGTAGGTGTTGTGTATGGTTAGGTGTTGTGTAGGGTTAGGTGTTGTAGGTGTGTATGGTTAGGCGTTGTGTCGGTGTTGTGTAGGGTTAGGTGTTGTAGGTGTAGTGTTGTGTAGGTGTTGTGTAGGGTTAGGTGTTGTGTAGGGTTAGGTGTTGTAGGTGTAGTGTATGGTTAGGTGTTGTGTATGGTTAGGCGTTGTGTAGGTGTTGTGTATGGTCAGGCGTTGTGTAGGTGTGGTGTAATAGCGCCGGCTGGTGGACAGCAGCGTCAACTGTGTTGGACAGAGAGTACACACGCCGGTGAGGGTGTGCACGGCTGTGTGTTGGCAGGGCGGAGGAACTTGGGCAAGGGTCACGGAGAACCCCGTCTGGCTTCCCCTGGAACCCGCTAGTGGGTTCCAGGGGAAGGGAGGTGCGGCCAGGGCAGAGCCAGGCCGCGCTGGGAGGATAAAAGGAGCCGAGAGCGGGGAGCTCGGGGCTGCCGGTTCTGAGATTGGATTCGTCTCGTCGTCGCTGTCGTCTCCGCTAGATATTGCGCGGCAGGATAGTTGTTGGCTTTTTCGATTTAAAGCTTTCGTGACTGCAGGGATTCATATTCTTGGTTCTTTCGGTAAAGTCACGTAGAAGGAATATAACAAAAATAAACCAATAAAATTATCACGCTGTTTCGGTTGCGACACAAGCAATCATCATCAGGTGTGAAAACCACAGCAAGAAAATCACTTTTTTCAAAATTTTCTTGCTGTGGTTTTCACACCTGATGATGATTGCTTGTGTTGCAATCGAAACGTCGTGATAATTTTAGCGGCGTCAGTGTTAGACGTCTCGCGTTGTGTACAGGGCTGGGCTAAGCGACTGTGGAGAGTGGGCAGGCGAGACCGTGAATGGTCTAAATAAAAGGTGCCTCCTACAAACCTCGTCTCCGAAGCACTGACACTACATAGGGTTAGGTGTTGTAGGTTTATGTGTTGTAGGTTTATGTGTTGTAGGTTTAGGTGTTGTAGGTATAGGTGTTGTAGGTTTAGGTGTTGGAGGTTTAGGTTTTGTAGGTTTATGTGTTATAGGTTGATGTGTTGTAGGTTTAGGTGTTGTAGGGTTATGTGTTGTTGGGTTAGATGATGTAGGTTTATGTGTTGTAGCTTTAGGTGTTATAGGTGTTGGAGGTTTAGGTGTTGTAGGTTTACGTGTTGTAGGTTTACGTGTTGTAGGTTTAGGTGTTGGAGGTTTAGGTGTTGTTGGTATGGGTGTTGGAGGTTTAAGTGTTATAGGTTTATGTGTTATAGGTTTATGTGTTGTAGGTTTAGGTGTTGTAGGGTTGTGTTGTTGGGTTAGATGTTGTAGGTTTATGTGTTGTAGGATTAGGTGTTGTAGGTTTAGGTGTTGGAGGTTTTTAGGTGTTGTAGGTGTATGCGTTGTAGGGTTGTGGTGTTACAGAGTTTGTGGGCAGCAGAGGGCAGTGTTCACCATCAGCTATGGTCAATCCACTGCTGGATGAAGGCCTACCGGAGCCGCCGCCACCACCTCTCGATCCTGCGATGTAAACGGATCCACACGACCTTGATGCCATCGCTCCATCTCCCTCCTTGGCGGTGTCAACCGACTTTCACCGGAAGGCAAATTCCGTTCCTTGGAGATTTAAAAAAATGGCAACTCTAAATATTTACGCGATCAAACCCAAATAAAAACTTATGGATTATATCCTTTGGGTCTTTCGGTAAAGTCACGTAGATAGGTTAAAATTAATGAAAATAAAATAAACATTTGTATTAATTTGAACCAATCAACGTGACTTTAATAATTTTTTAAATAAAATGTTTTATTCATTTGAACCTCTTTAATTATTGTTGGCCTACCAACGAATGGTGAAGTATGGTCAAACAAACCCAGCCCCTACCACTCGCACCCAGCGGGCAGGCCCTCATCCAGCAGTGGGACTTTGACGCAATTGTCAACGCGACGTCATCACGCATGCAACGACGTCGCGTACCACCGTGATGACATCACGCACGGCGAAAACATCCACACCCCCTTTCCCCGGCGTCACCGCGCACTTCTTCGCGTGATGACGTCGCCACGCACGGCGGAATCAAGACGCGCGACGTCACCGCGTACGCTTGCCCGTGATGTCACCACGCCGGAACCACGCCCACTTGCCACGTCTTGCGCGGTGACGTCAGCGCCCACACCACCCGCGCCCGCAAACGCGCGGCTCCCATTGGCCCTCCCCGCAGGGTCACGCGACCTCGACGCTAACGCGGAAGCCGATCGGCGCCGTCTCCTTCCCGTCGTTTTTTTCCCGCGCGTCTCCCGACCGTCGTGAGCGGGGCACTCCGGGCGTGGTCAATCCCGCCGAGCGATCGGCGAGAGTTTAATTTTTTTTAATTTGAATTCCTCATCGCTGAGGCGGCTCCTGACGTCATCGCCTGGGATAGCGTCACCTCCATTCATTGGAGGTGGCGCGCGGATAGATCCATGGAATCGATTCCACAACTCGACCATTCCAGATTCGATTCCCCCCGCGTGCGCTGGGTTTCCACGTTGGGTGTTCTCATCAGCGAGAGGCGGGCTGCCGCACGAGACAATTAGCCGCAATTAAAAACTAAACGCAGTTTTTTTTTGGGTCCCACTAAAATGTATATCTCGAGGTAAAAGGGCCTCCCCCTCCTCCACTGAGCTAATGTAGCTTTGGGGGGTGTTTTTTTTGGTTTGTTCCAAAAGCGACCCGGTCACAATCGCCGACTCCACGCAGTTCGCGGCTCATCGTCGTAATGCGCAAATTTGTAGCGGCGGCCGAATGCTCTAAACGCGTGGCGATGTTGATTCCAAACGCACGCAGAGGGCGAACCCGGAGGAGCCGGAGAAAAAGGCGCGCAGCGACCACGGGGAGAGAGAAACGCGCAGACTCCAAATGCACAGCAGCAGCAGCAGGCATTGTCAGGGTTAGGATGGAACCCACGACCTCCTGTATACCTGGCGAGGTAGTTAACATCTCTCATAGCCACCGTGATGATGATGAGAGAGAGACGCAGACTCCAAATGCACAGCAGCAGCAGGCATTGTCAGGGTTAGGATGGAACCCACGACCTCCTGTATACCTGGCGAGGTAGTTAACATCTCTCAGCCACCGTAATGATGATGAGAGAGAGACGCAGACTCCAAATGCACAGCAGCAGCAGGCATTGTCAGGGTTAGGATGGAACCCACGACCTCCTGTACACCAGGCGAGGTAGTCAACATCTACCCACCGTGATGATGAGAGAGAGAGACGCAGACTCCAAATATACAGCAGCAGCATTAGCAGGCAATGTCAGGGTTAGGATGGAACCCACGACCTCCTGTATACCAGGCGAGGTAGTCAACATCTACCCACCTTGATGATGAGAGAGAGACGCAGACTCCAAATATACAGCAGCAGCATTAGCAGGCAATGTCAGGGTCGGGATGGAACCCACGACTTCCTGGATACCAGGCGAGGTAGTTAACATCTCTCATAGCCACCGTGATGATGATGAGAGAGAGACGCAGACTCCAAATATACAGCAGCATTAGGCAATGTCAGGGTTGGGATGGAACCCACGACCTCCTGTATACCAGGCGAGGTATCAACATCTCTCATAGCCACCGTGATGATGATGAGAGAGAGAGACGCAGACTCCAAATATACAGCAGCATTAGCAGGCAATGTCAGGGTCGGGATGGAACCCACGACCTCCTGTACACCAGGCGAGGTAGTCAACATCTCATAGCTACCGTGGTGATGATGAGAGAGAGAGAGACGCAGACTCCAAATATACAGCAGCAGCATTAGCAGGCATTGTCAAGGTTAGGATGGAACCCACGACCTCCTGTATACCAGGCGAGGTAGTCAACATCTCATAGCCACCGTGATGACGATGAGAGAGAGAGACACGCAAACTCCAAATATACAGCAGCAGCAGGCATCGTCAGGGTCGGGATAGAACCCACGACCTCCTGTACACCAGGCGAGGTAGTCAACATCTCCTAGCCACCGTGATTATGAGAGACCCTGACTCCTATACAGCAGCAGCATTAGCAGGCAATGTCAGGGTTAGGATGGAACCCACAACCGCCTGTACACCAGGCGAGGTAGTTAACATCTCCTAGCCACCGTGATGATGATGAGAGAGACGCAGACTCCAAATATACAGCAACAGCATTAGCAGGCGTTGTCAGGGTCTGGATGGAACCCACGACCTCCTGTACACCAGGCGAGGTAGTCAACATCTCCTAGCCACCGTGATGATGAGAGACCCTGACTCCTATACAGCAGCAGCATTAGCAGGCAATGTCAGGGTTAGGATGGAACCCACGACATCCTGTACACCAGGCGAGGTAGTTAACATCTCCTAGCCACCGTGATGATGATGAGAGAGACGCAGACTCCAAATATACAGCAGCAGCATTAGCAGGCGTTGTCAGGGTCGGGATGGAACCCACGACCTCCTGTAGACCAGGCGAGGTAGTCAACATCTCTCATAGCCACTGTGGTGATTATTAGAGAGAGACGCAGACTCCAAATATACAGCAGCAGCAGCATTAGCAGGCATCGTCAGGGTCGGGATGGAACCCACGACCTCCTGTATACCAGGCGAGGTAGTTAACAGCACTAGTGTATAGTGTAGTGTACTAGTACAGCACTAGTATGTAGTGTAGTGTATAGTAGTGTAGTGTATAATGTAGTATATAGTGTAGTGTATAGTGTAGTATACTAGTACAGCACTAGAATGTAGTGTATAGTGTAGTGTACTAGTACATCACTAGTGTGTAGTGTAGTGTATAGTGTAGTGTACTAGTACAACACTAGTGTGTAGTGTAGTGTATAGTGTAGTGTACTAGTACAGCACTAGTGTGTAGTGTATAGTGTAGTGTACTAGTACAGCACTAGTGTGTAGTGTAGTGTATAGTGTAGTGTACTAGTACATCACTAGTCTGTAGTGTAGTGTATAGTGTAGTGTACTAGTACAGCACTAGTGTGTAGTGTAGTGTATAGTGTAGTGTACTAGTACAGCACTAGTGTTTAGTGTAGTGTATAGTGTAGCGTACTAGTACAGCACTAGTGTGTAGTGTAGTGTATAGTGTAGTGTATAGTGGGGTTTTTTTGCAATCTAAGTACGTTTAGTGTAGTGTAGTATACTAGTACATCATTACACCGGTGTGTTGGAGAGCAAATCCACGACAATTAAAATCTAAGTACGACGTTTCGCCAGTAATCACAACCAGCTTCATCAGCTGACAGCCAGATTTGCGAAAACCCCCCTAATTCGCATTCGCCTGTATCGATTCGGGAATCGTTCTGTGGTGCGTAGGAATCGTTTAATCGATCGGGGGGGGGGGTGTGTGTGGCGGGTTAGGGAGGCGATTAAGAAGCCCATCACCACCACCCCTGGCGCGTCGACTCAAACACACAAAAAAACACTCCTCACCCTTCCTCTACCTCATCTCACGCTCACCTCCAGCCCATCACCGTCTTGCTGCTGCTGCTGCTGCCGAGTGAAATATAAAGCATGGCCGTTGTGCCCGAGGTGGTGTTCGTGCTGGGAGGACCCGGAGCTGGCAAAGGGACCCAGTGTGAGAAGATCGTGGAGGTGAGGAGGTGGAGGTGGTGGTGGTGGATGATGGATGAGGTGGTGGTGGTGGAGGTGAGGAGGAGGTGGTGGTGGTGGTGGATGATGGATGAGGTGGTGGTGGTGGAGGTGAGGAGGAGGAGGTGGTGGTGGTGGTGGAGGTGGATGATGGATGAGGTGGTGGTGGAGGTGAGGAGGAGGAGGTGGTGGAGGTGGTGGATGAGGTGGTGGTGGTGGTGGTGGAGGTGGTGGATGATGGGTGAGGTGGTGGAGGTGAGGAGGAGGAGGTGGTGGTGGTGGTGGAGGTGGAGGTGGTGGTGGAGGTGGTGGTGGTGGAGGTGGTGGTGGAGGTGAGGAGGAGGACGAGGAGGTGGTGGTGGTTGTGGATGAGATGGTGGAGGTGAGGAGGAGGAGGTGGTGGTGGATGATGGATGAGGTGGTGGTGGAGGTGAGGAGGAGGTGGAGGTGGTGGAGGTGGTGGATGATGGATGAGGTGGTGGTGGTGGAGGTGAGGAGGAGGAGGTGGAGGTGGTGGAGGTGGTGGATGATGGATGAGGTGGTGGTGGTGGAGGTGAGGAGGAGGAGGTGGTGGAGGTGGTGGATGAGGTGGTGGTGGTGGTGGTGGAGGTGGTGGATGATGGGTGAGGTGGTGGAGGTGAGGAGGAGGAGGTGGTGGAGGTGGTGGATAATGGATGAGGTGGTGGTGGTGGAGGTGAGGAGGAGGAGGTGGTGGTGGATGATGGATGAGGTGGTGGTGGTGGAGGTGAGGAGGAGGTGGAGGTGGTGGAGGTGGTGGATGATGGATGAGGTGGTGGTGGTGGTGGTGGAGGTGGTGGAGGTGGTGGAGGTGGTGGATGATGGATGAGGTGGTGGTGGAGGTGAGGAGGAGGAGGTGGTGGAGGTGGTGGATGAGGTGGTGGTGGTGGTGGTGGTGGAGGTGGTGGATGATGGGTGAGGTGGTGGTGGTGGAGGTGAGGAGGAGGTGGTGGAGGTGGTGGATGATGGATGAGGTGGTGGTGGTGGAGGTGAGGAGGAGGTGGTGGTGGTGGTGGAGGTGGATGAGGTGGTGGTGGTGAGGAGGTGGTGATGGAGGTGGTGGAGGTGGTGGATGAGGTGGAGGTTGACAGAGATGGGTGGTGGTGGTGGAGGTGAAGGATAGAGCGTTGGTGGTGGTGGATGAGGTGGTGGTGGTGGAGGTGAGGAGGAGGTGGAGGTGGTGGTGGTGGTGGTGGATGAGGTGGAGGTTGACAGAGATGGCTGGTGGAGGAGGTGGAGGTGGTGCAGGTGGTGGATGATGGATGAGGTGGAGGTTGACAGAGATGGGTGGTGGTGGTGGAGGTGAAGGATAGAGCGTTGGTGGTGGTGGAGGTGGATGAGGTTAGGGTGGTGGTGGTGGATGAGGTTGGAGTGGTGGTGGTGGAGGTGGTGGATGAGGTTAGAGTGGTGGTGGTGGAGGTGGTGGATGAGGTTAGAGTGGTGGTGGTGGAGTTGGATGAGGTTAGAGTGGTGGTGGTGGATGAGGTTAGAGTGGTGGTGGAGGTGGATGGGGTTAGAGTGGTGGTGGATGAGGTTAGAGTGGTGGTGGAGGTGGATGGGGTTAGAGTGGTGGTGGAGGTGGTGGATGAGGTTAGAGTGGTGGTGCTGGTGGAGGTGGTGGTGGAGGTGAGAGCGAGGAGGAGGTGAGAGTCTGGTGCAGGCTCTGTGTGCGGGGCGGTGACACGGTGAGAGACAGTGGTGTGTGTAGTGTAGTATACGGTGTAGTGTATAGTGTAGTATACAGTGTAGTGTATAGTGTAGTGTACAGTGTAGTGTATAGTGTAGTATACAGTGTAGTGTGTAGTATACAGTGTAGTATACAGTGTAGTGTAGTGTTTAGTGTAGTATATAGTGTAATATACAGTGTATAGTGTAGTGTATAGTGTATTATACTAGTACAGCACTAGTATGTGGTGCAGTGTATAGTGTAGTATACAGTGTAGTGTATAGTGTAGTGTATAGTGTAGTATACTAGTACAGCACTAGTATGTGGTGTAGTGTATAGTGTAGTATACAGTGTAGTGTATAGTGTAGTATACTAGTACAGCACTAGTATGTGGTGTCGTGTATAGTGTAGTGTATAGTGTAGTATAATAGTACAGCACTAGTATGTAGTGTATAGTGTAGTATACTAGTACAGCACTAGTATGTAGTGTAGTATACAGTGTAGTATACAGTGTAGTGTATAGTGTAGTGTAAAGTGTAGTGTGTAGTATAAAAAACACACTTGTGGCGTAAGGCCACAAAAGTGGGGCGTTGGTGAACGTGACAACGGCTAATGTTGGTCAGGTTAGCAGTGTTCGTTCACCATCGCTGCCAACGGAGCCACCGCCGCGTTGTTCACCGCAGTGGCATTGCCACGTTGTTCACCGCAGTGGCATTGCCACGTTGTTCACCGCAGTGGCATTGCCGCGTTGTTCACCGCAGTGGCATTGCCACGTTGTTCACCGCGGTGGCATTGCCACGTTGTTCACCGCGGTGGCATTGCCACGTTGTTCACCGCGGTGGCATTGCCACGTTGTTCACCGCAGTGGCATTGCCACGTTGTTCACCGCGGTGGCATTGTCACGTTGTTCACCGCGGTGGCATTGCCACGTTGTTCACCGCGGTGGCATTGCCACGTTCACCGCGGTGGCATTGCCACGTTGTTCACCGCAGTGGCATTGCCGCGTTGTTCACCACAGTGGCATTGCCACGTTCACCGCGGTGTCATTGCCACGTTGTTCACCGCAGTGGCATTGCCACGTTGTTCACCGCGGTGGCATTGCCATGTTGTTCACCGCAGTGGCATTGCCACGTTCACCGCAGTGGCATTGCCACGTTGTTCACCGCAGTGGCATTGCCACGTTGTTCACCGCAGTGGCATTGCCACGTTGTTCACCGCGGTGGCATTGCCGCGTTGTTCACCGCGGTGGCATTGCCACGTTCACCGCGGTGGCATTGCCACGTTGTTCACCGCGGTGGCATTGCCACGTTGTTCACCGCGGTGGCATTGCCACGTTGTTCACCGCGGTGGCATTGCCACGTTGTTCACCGCGGTGGCATTGCCACGTTCACCGCGGTGGCATTGCCACGTTGTTCACCGCAGTGGCATTGCCATGTTGTTCACCGCAGTGGCATTGCCACGTTCACCGCAGTGGCATTGCCACGTTGTTCACCGCAGTGGCATTGCCGCGTTCACCGCAGTGGCATTGCCACGTTGTTCACCGCAGTGGCATTGCCACGTTGTTCACCGCGGTGGCATTGCCACGTTGTTCACCGCGGTGGCATTGCCACGTTGTTCATTGCAGTGGCATTGCCACGTTGTTCACCGCGGTGGCATTGCCACGTTGTTCACCGCGGTGGCATTGCCACGTTCACCGCAGTGGCATTGCCGCGTTGTTCACCGCAGTGGCATTGCCTCGTTGTTCACCGCAGTGGCATTGCCACGTTGTTCACCGCAGTGGCATTGCCACGTTGTTCACCGCAGTGGCATTGCCACGTTGTTCACCGCAGTGGCATTGCCACGTTGTTCACCGCAGTGGCAGTGCAGTAATTTTGGCACTGAGGAGAGGGCACCTTCAGTTGCCCCCGTGTGAAGTGATGCAATCTTGGTTTGAAGTTTTCGTGACTGCAGGAATCCCACAATCTGGTTCTTTTCGGTTAAGTCACGTAGGTAAAAAATAAAGTACATCACGGCGTTTCGATTGCAACACGAGCAATCATCATCAGGAGGGAAAGCCACAGCAATATTTTTTTCTTGAGTGATGCAATGTTGTCACCTCGCCGATTAGCACGGTTGGCTACGTACGGTGCGAAAGAAGTTCAACACACACTATGCCACTATACACTACTACACACTACACTATTATACACTATACTACTACACACTACACTACTATACACTACTACACACTACACTACTACACACTACACTACTATACACTACATACGACACAACTCTACACTACAGTATACACTACACTACTATACACTACACTACTATACACTACACTACAGTATACACTACACCACTATACACTACTATACACTACATACGACACAACTCTACACTACAGTATACACTACACCACTATACTATACACGACATACGACACAACTCTACACTACAGTATACACTCCACTACTATACACTACACTACTACACACTACACTACAGTATACACTACACCACTATACACTACTATACACTACATACGACACAACTCTACACTACAGTATACACTACACCACTATACTATACACGACATACGACACTATTCTACACTACAGTATACACTCCACTACTATACACTACACTACTACACACTACACTATTATACACTATACTACTACACACTACACTACTATACACTACACTACAGTATACACTACACTACTATACACTATACTACTACAGTATACACTTCACCGCACCTCCTGATTAGCACAGTTGGCTACGTACGGTGCGGAAGAAGTCCAACACACACTACACTACTACACTACACTATACACTACTATAGTGCAGTATACACTACACCGCACCTCCGATTGGCACAGTTGACTACGTAGGGTGCGAAAGAAGTCCTACATACATACAGTACGTACGATGAACGACCTACTTGGTCAGTACTGTACAGGCAGCTGGTTCCAGATGTCTTGTGACCCTTCCTCCCAATCAATTGACATCCTTTGCGCATTCGTTTTAGTTTTAAAGAAGGGACGTCTGGACCAACCCTGTACCGCATTGACAATCGAGCGCTGTCTCTGTGTGTGTGTGTGCGTGCACTTGCAGGGTGTGGTCTTGATGAGTCTCGCACAAAGATCCACCGTTTGTACGCCCTAAGACTTGTGGTGGAGCAAGTGCTGTTAGGAGCGAGTGGCTAGCACCTGTGAAGGTCATCACGGCGCACGAGGTTGGGTGGGCGACCGGCACCGCGCCCGGCCGCCTTTGTCTCCCCCAGTGGCGATGTTTTATTCACCCGTCGCACCAGGGCATGCTCCCCTCGAGGCCGAGTCGAATCTAGGGGCTCAAAACAATCGTCGCTGGTGTTTGGCCGTGAGCGGGAATCGAACTCGGGTCGCCGGGTTAGTCGGGCAGCGTGGCGCTCACCGCTACACCACCGCTCTCCTTGACGCACTCACCGTCACGACACACCTACAGTCTGGCGCGTCTGCACCCCCTCTCGCAGCCACGCACGCACGCACGCATTCACACACGCGCACAGCCATGCAGTCTCACGCACAGCTTCACACTCGTACGCACACCCGTCAAATGCTCCCACGCTTAGCAGCGCACACGCTTACACTCCCACACACACCCACTCTCACGTGCAGCACACACTCACCCACGCAACATCACACACCCATACACTCCCACAGACCATACATCACACGCCCATGCACTCCCACAGGCACCTTTACAATCCCACCCACACATCACACACCCATGCACTCCCACAGACACCTTTACAATCCCACCCACACATCACACACCCATGCACTCCCACGGACACCTTGATAATCCCACCCACACATCACACACCCATGCACTCCCACGGACACCTTGACAATCCCACCCACACATCACTCACCCATGCACTCCCATGGACACCTTGACAATCCCACCCACATATCACACACCCATGCACTCCCACGGACACCTTGACAATCCCACCCACACATCACACACCCATGCACTCCCACGGACACCTTGACAATCCCACCCACACATCACACACCCATGCACTCCCACGGGCACCTTTACAATCCCACCCACACATCACACACCCATGCACTCCCACTGACACCTTGACAAACCCTCGCACACATCACACACCCATTCACTCCTACGGACACCTTGACAACCCCACCCACACATCACACACTCATGCACTCCCACGGGCACCTTTACAATCCCACCCACACATCACACACCCATGCACTCCCACGGACACCTTGACAACCCCACCCACACATCACACACCCATGCACTCCCACGGACACCTTTACAATCCCACCCACACATCACACACCCATGCACTTCCACGGACACCTTGACAATCCCACCCACACATCACACACCCATGCATTCCCACGGACACCTTTACAATCCCACCCACACATCACACACCCATGCACTCCCACGGACACCTTTACAATCCCACCCACACATCACACACCCATGCACTCCCACGGACACCTTTACAATCCCACCCACACATCACACACCCATGCACTCCCACAGACACCTTTACAATCCCACCCACACATCACACACCCATGCACTCCCACGGACACCTTGACAATCCCACCCACACATCACTCACCCATGCACTCCCACGGACACCTTGACAATCCCACCCACATATCACACACCCATGCACTCCCACGGACACCTTGACAATCCCTCGCACACACCCATGAACTCCCATGGACACCTTGACAATCCCACCCACACATCACTCACCCATGCACTCCCACGGACACCTTGACAATCCCACCCACATATCACACACCCATGCACTCCCACGGACACCTTGACAATCCCTCGCACACACCCATGCACTCCCATGGACACCTTGACAATCCCACCCACACACCACACACCCATGCACTCCCACGGGCACCTTGACAACCCCACCCACACATCACACACCCATGCACTCCCACTGACACCTTGACAATCCCACCCACACATCACACACCCATGCACTCCCACGGACACCTTGACAATCCCACACACCCATGCACTCCCACGGACACCTTGACAATCCCACCCACACATCACACACCCATGCACTCCCACAGGCACCTTGACAATCCCACCCACACATCACACACCCATGCACTCCCACGGGCACCTTGACAAACCCTCGCACACCCTTGGACACTGAGCAACGCCTGGGACCATTCTCACTGTCCTGACTGCCAGGGAAGGGACATTCAGAGACGGTGATGCCTTTATTGACTGCAATCGCAACTTTAATATACCTTTCGGGTTTTTTTTCTGTTATCTAGGCTGAAACTATCACGCTCGCTGCAATTTGAAAATCCGGTTTTAATTACATACGGGCCAAAGGCTGACTTAATCGTTTTCAAAAATGCTAAATATTTTCTGAAATGTGACTATTGGGACATTCTTCCCTGCGTTCTTGATGGCTGCCCAACACATCACGGTTGGCTAAACGCAAACACATCCCACAAACCGCGGTCTCTCTAATAAACAAATAATATATTTCTTTTTTTAAACTACAATCCGGAAGAGCTCCTCTTGTCCACCACTCTTGTTACCCGCCACGTGGCCCAGCAACGGCGCGTTAAACCGCTCGTCGCAGAGTTTCGCGGTTCGAGCAGAGCGGCCTCCCTGGTTAATACCGCGGTGCGGATCAACCGTGAAGAATACTACGCGCGCATTTCCTTAACCCACAGTGGACGCGAGAGATCCGCGCTGTGAAAACACCGATTAATCGGTGGCGTTGACCTCCTGGTCAGTCCGCGATAACACTCGAAAACTCCGCACCGATAGATTCATTGCCAGGCAGTCTTCCCCCCCCCCCCCCAAATCCGGGTACTAACCAGGCTCAACCCCCCCTGCTTAGCTCACCGAGAGCCGGAGATATTGGGCAACGTTCCACATGAATTTTGTCGTGGGCGTTGGCTGTGCGAGTTGGGAGGTTATTTGCAGGAAGCGAGAGTCGGGGTGTGCCGTGACATTAAAAAGGGCTGCAGGCGAGGGCGGTGTGTGTGTGTGCATGCGTGCGTTATGTGTGTGGTCGGATGGAATGGAATACGACTTCACAAAGAGCAAGTGACCAGACGGGTTTGAACTCTTGCGTCCTGTGCAAGTGAACCGCACAGAAACAGCAATGAACACTATCGGCGGGATATCATCAAAGGTTAGGATTTTACGGACGGTGTTATAGGGTCAGTGTTGGGGTCAGAGACAGTGTTAGTGCCAGGATCGGTGCGAAGGTCGGGATGGGTGTTGGTGCCACAGTTTTGGGGCACACGCGTGAAACGCGGTTCTAAACTTCATTTGGCAAAATTCCAGCTGTGAGAGTTAAAGACTCGTTTGATTATCACGACATTTAGATTGCGGCTATGTGCGTGTGTGCGCGCACCTGGGTGTTGTGCCGTGTGCGTCTGCATGCCTGTTTTTTGCCATGTGCCTGTGCGTGCTAGGTGTGTTTCCACGTCTCTCTCCGCGCGCTTGCATGCTTGTCTACGGGTGCACGTGAAGGTGTGCCCCAGGCCTGCGCATTACGTGACGTGCCCCCGTGCTGCCCGCGGCTGACTAAGCACGCACGCTTTGCTCCGCGCTGCTGAACCCTTCGCAGACCTTTGGCTACACCCACCTCTCCGCGGGGGACTTGCTGCGGGCGGAGAGGTCGCGCAAGGGGTCGGAGTTCGGCACTCTCATCGAGAAGTGCATACGGGACGGCAGCATCGTGCCTGTGGAGATCACGCTCGCCCTGCTCAAGAAAGTACGGCGCACGTACCCTCGTATCCGTCTACCCGCTGCCCTGCGGCCCCGCGTACCCACGTACCTGTGTACTCGCGTCCCCGCGTACCCACGTACCTGTGCACTCATGTCCCTGCATCCCTGTGTCCTTGCGTACCAACGTACCTATGCACCCATGAACCTATCCCTGTGTACCCACGTATCTGTGTACCCATGTACTTGCATCCCCGCTTCCCCGTTTACTCACTTACCCGTATCCCTGCGTCCCCACGTCCCCGCGAACCCGTGTAACTGTGTAGTGAACCCGTGGCCCCCCCTCGGCCTTCGATGGCCTTTAATGGCCTCAGAGTGGGCTCATTGCCGTGGGTGCTGGCTCAGTGTCTCCGATAAGGCCGTTATGAACAACCATTTGAGAGAGGCACCCATACAGACCCAGGGCTCGAACCCGTACTCTTCGAAGCGCTGGCTTTAGTTTCGCTGACACGGCCAACTTTGTTGAGCTGTCATTTGTGGTCGCTTCTGAAAAATAAGCTAATCCCTCAGTGGTCCTTGCCTTGTAGGAATGGGGGTGGTTTAGTTGTTGTATTTGTCTGGGTCTGGGTGATTTGTTAATCTTTCTTGTACTTTGCACTGCTGCCGTGGTTTTCGTTCCTGTTTGTTGTTTGTAACGTTCTTTGCAGCTCATCAGATTCCTCCTGCAGTATAAACTACAACATTCTGATTCTGGTAAACCTCCTGAGACCCGGCCTCCCTCCTCCCCATCATCCTCCTCCCTCCTCTTCTCTCCTCCTCCTCCTCCTTGCTCGCTCGCCCCCAGGCGATGGAGGAGACGATGGCGAAGGATCCAAGCAAGAATCTGTTCCTCATCGACGGTTTCCCGCGCAACAAGGACAACCTGGAGGGCTGGCAGCGTCACATGGGCGGCAAGGCCCACGTCAAGTTTGTCCTCTTCTTCGACTGCAGCAACGAGGCAAATACGTTTGAAGCGTATCACTTGAACAATATGTTGAGTGTGAGCTTAACCCCCCCCGTCTCCCACCTCCCTCCCTCCCACCCCCTCTCCCCCTTCCTCCCACCCGGCCACCAGATTGGTTGAGGCACCCGTTGCAATCGGCGAGGATGATTAAGTCGTGGTTTAGATTACAGAGCCCATGGTACTTTACACCGGGGAACACATTCTCCTCCTCGTCTTCTTCAGTCATCTGCCATGTTCCATCCACTGCTGGATGACCCCCCCCACCCACCGCGGGCTGGCTGGCCGGGGAGCGTGGGACACAAAGAGGAGTGATGAGGAGTGATGCGGAGGTGAGGAGTTGTGCCGTTCGGTCTCACACAGGTCTGCATCGATCGCTGCCTGGAGCGGGGCAAGAGCAGTGGACGGTCGGACGACAACAGAGAGAGCCTCATCAAGCGGTGAGGAAGTCTCGCCCCCTTGCGGCTGGCCCACCCCCCGATTCGCCCGCCCTCAACGCATCTGTGGTTGGGTCCGCCAACCCACTCCCCCACCCCCTCCTCCATCCTCATGGAGTCGCCGGCTCAATGGCCGCCGCGGTGTCGGGGTGGCGTTTAACGGGCCACCCGTCCCCCCCCCCCGCCCCCACCGCCTCCGCCTCCCCGGCAGGATCGAGACGTACCTGACGTCCACCAAGCCCATCATCGACAGCTACAGCGTGGAGGGGAAGGTTCAGCGCGTCGATGCGGCCGGCGCCGTGGCCGAGGTGAGGGCGGCTCCCGGCCGCGCGTGGGCGAGGGGTCGGCCCCGGCTCGTCGATTAGATTCGGGCTCGCTCGCTAGCGCCTCGCTCAAATAACATGGTCACAAGGATGTTTTTGCAAGTCTGTGGGGGGGTCTCTGCGTGGGTATATCGTGTCTCTGTGTGAATATGTGGGTTTCTGTGTGAGTCTGCGGGTCTCTGTGTGTGAATCTGTGGGTTTCAGTGTGAGTCTGCGGGTCTCTGTGTGTGAATCTGTGGGTTTCTGTGTGAATCTGCGGGTCTTTGTGTGTGAATCTGTGGGTTTCTGTGTGAGTCTGCGGGTCTCTGTGTGTGAATCTGTGGGTTTATGTGTGAGTCTGCGGGTCTCTGTGTGTGAATCTGTGGGTTTCTGTGTGAGTCTGCGGGTCTCTGTGTGAATCTGTGGGTTTCTGTGTGAGTCTGTAGTTGTCTGTGTCGATCTATGGGTTACTGTCGAAATCTCGACCTCCTGTATACCAGGCGAGGTAGTTAACATCTCGCCACCGTGGCGCCCAAGTAGCCCACAGAGCCAGGCCAGACATCTCGCCCGTCCGTTCCACCACAGCCCTAGCCATTCGATTTCTCTTGTGTGTGGCCAATAGCGGTGAATCGCGTGGTAAGCATTCGCAACAAGCGGCGTTGTCAAGTAATTCACCCTCACTGGCCGTGCGAATAAATCGGAATTACCTTTTTGCTACTTTGCCCGGTTTATGACGATTCGGCCTCTGGCCACGGACCGCTGTAAAAATCGCGAGCGGGCGCGGTTGCATCCGGCCGCGGCGTTTCCCGCGACAAGCAATGCCCACGGCCTTTGACCTCATGTGTGTGTGCCGCTGCTTCCGTGTCCTCTGTCCGCAGGTGTTTGCCGAAGTCAAGAAGGTGTTTGAGAAGAAGTGACTCCCCCAGTCGCACTCCGAGCGCGCCGAGTCCAAGGCAGTTGTCGAACTCGGCTTGTTTAATTTCTTCACTTTTTCTCTCCCCCTCCCCCCCGGGGTCGTCGGCGCTTCTCGCAAAATGGGATACTACGAACGGTGAATGACGGTGGTGGTGGTGGTGATGATGATAATCATGCGATCAATTTTTTTATTCAGGGAATTGACATTCTGAGGAAGTGCGCGTGAGTGAGTGTGCGCGTGCGTGCATGGTGGCGTCGGGCTGTGACGGTGGCCTGAACTTGTTCGCTTGGGAACATCGTCGCGATCGTCAACATCATGAACACATCTATCACGGTTAGCTAGGGTACGGCGCGAAAGAAGTTCTACACACATACGTACACGATCATCGTCAACGTCACCCTCAACATCAACAACACCAACATCCTTAACATCGTCGACAACATCATCGTCGTCGCCGTCATCGTCGACAACTGACTTCGTCAGTCGTCGTGACACCGTAGATAGCGCAGTGCCCGGCGCTTGCGTTTCTACACCACCATCTCTGTTTACAGAATCGGCACTGCCCGTCACGACGACACCACGCACGTACAGCTCGGCTCAGAAACCCACCCCCCCCCACCCACCCCCACACACCTCCTTCGCTCCAAACACCGGCTAAGGATTCCGAAAGAGAGCCGAGCTTCCGCCGCAACGGGCATGGCCGGCGGGCAGTCGCTCGCTCGCTCGCAGCCAGCCAATCAGCCGCCTCCTGGCGCAACCACTCGCTCGGGCGCGGCAGGCAAAGCGGTCGCGCGATTGATCCCGAGAAGGCGGCCTCGGTCACGCGACGGGTGGCTGGGCCACGGGGCCCGGGGCTTGGCATCTGTATATTTAAGTCGCGTGCTTCAAACGTATTTATCATCATGTTCCGTTCGGCGTCAGGACTCGCAATGCGATGGAAAAAAATTATCATCACGGAATTAACAGATTAGCAGTTAGCCCAGCGGGGGCCCCGGGTGACTCCGGCGGCCGGAGACGCCGAGGGCCTGGGTTCCAACCCGGGTCTCGGCCGCCCAACCACAGTGATTGCACCACAGCGGTTCCAAGTGCAGAGAGTTGATGGTCTCACCCGTGACTGACACAGAGACCCGTAGACTCGCACAGATATCCATAGACTTGCATAGAGACCCATAGACTCACGTAGAGACCCGTAGACTTGCATAGAGACCCATAGACTCACACATAGAGACCCGTAGACTCACATAGAGACCCATAGACTCGCATAGAGACTCATAGACTCGCATATAGACCCATAGACTCGCATAGAGACCCGTAGACTCGCATAGAGACCCATAGACTCGCATAGAGACCCGTAGACTCGCATAGAGATTAAAGCCGGTTCTCAAGCAGTGAGTTGATGGTCTCAGCCCGGTCACCAATGACAGCACAATAAAATTTTAGTTTTTTTTATCGTTGCTTAATTTGGCGAAATTCCAGCTCCGAGAATGATAAAATATCAGCTTTAACTGCCAAGCGACCAAACATTACTCATCATATCAGGTGCACGGTGGTGGTGGGGGGGGGAAGGGGTCCTGCCCCCTCGTGTTTGTGTGTGTGTGGATAAAGAGCTATCACTTGAAAGGAACTTCAGAAGGTGTTCCGCAGTTTTGACCGCAGAGAGCGACGCGCTGCCCTCCCAGAGTTTCCGCCTCGCGGTCGATGCAAAGACGACGATTACGACGCCGCCGACACCAGCCGCATCGTCACCGGGTTGTAAGAAGACATCCCCCCCCCCCCCCCAAACCTCCCTGCTTGAACGCAACACCCCCTTTCAGATCTGCTCGCTATGCGCGTGCAATTTGTACCACTCCGCTTGGCCCCACGCGAATCCTCCCCCTTAGCCGCTGGCACAGCCGGGCCGGGCCGGTGTGAGCGGGGGCGGCGGCGGGGGCGGCGGCGGCGGCGGCAGCATCGCCGTACTGGTGGGTTTCCCACCGGCCAGGCCGCGACCACGCCGTGACGCCGCCGCTGGCCTTGCGAGCCACGTGTGTGTGTGTGTGTTGATCTTCTTTCACCCACGTGGCTCGGGGGGGCCAAGCAGGGCCAGGGGAGGTGGGGGTGGGGTTAACGACGCGTCCGCCGTGCGGTGCGATGTCACTGGTGACTGAAGAAGCTCCACGAGATGGCGGCATCCAGCGAGTCTGTGCGGGGGGGGGGGGGCGATTAAATTACCGCCTGTGTGTGTGCCCTCTATGACCCCGGCGACCCGAGTTCGATTCCCGCTCACGGCCATTATCTGAACTGCTCCTGGGCCTCCCCTAGGTGGACTCGGCTTCAAATGAGTACCTGGTGCGGTGTGTAAAATCATCGGCACTCGGGAGACAAAGGCGGTCGGGCGTGGTGCTGGCCACCCACCCCCTTCGTGTGCCGTTCCGGCCTTCAAAGGCGCTGCTCGCAATTTGCGCTTGCCACAGCAGACGGTTCAGGCTGCACGGGACATCTTTGTCTTCTTTGTGCGAGTGTGTGAATGTCGCACGGCTCAGCTTGTGCGGTGGGTAAAATGAAATCTGGCCCCTCGTGAGCCGTGCCCGGGGCTGGCTTGGCACGGCACCGGCACGGCTCGGGCGTGCCGGTGGAAAAAGCGGTGTCGGTGGACTGCTCGATTCGCGTCGCACGATCGCTCCGCAGGGGGTTTACCAAAGCCCTAGGGCCGTGACGTCGTCCGCTTTTCCCAGCGTGCGTGCGTCGCTCGCTCGCTCTGCGTGTGACGTTCGTGATACTCCTCGTGTTTATTTTTTCGTAGCGTTTTTGTTGGGTGGTCTTCGTGTCCCACCTTTGATAACTTTTCTTTGGCTCGCGGTTTTTTTAGTTTTTTTTGCGCGTGCGTGTGCGTGCGTGTGTGTGTGCCCGTGTGTTACGTACGGATCTTCCTTGATTTGTTTCGTCGCGGCGATTTGAAATCGCTCTTTGCGTCTTCTTCTTGTTTCTCAGTCCCCGTCCGTCGGATCGTGTCGTTTCCTCCGAACGTATCTGGTGCAAATAAAGGTGGCGGCGGTGGTGGCGGTGAGACGATGTCGCTGGTTGTTGGCATGCTGTGCCTGACGGCGGCGAATGCGACAAGGGGAGCTCGAACGGGCTCGTTGCTTTAGCAAGCTACGCTCCTTTGGGGGGTAGGGGGGTAGGGGGGGTGCCTATGGAAGCCACTTCGGAAGAAGTTGATGGGAGCGCGAGAGAGGCAAGACTGAGGGTGTGGAAGGCTGAGCGGAGCGTGCGCTCCTTCAGCGGAGGAGGAATGGCAAAACGACACCAACTCTCAACTCCTGAAGCCCTCTCGTCGTGGTGAGCAGACCTCTCGACATTGGCATCGAGCTCTTGAACATCGAGCTCATGAACGGTCCAGCTCATGAACGGTCCAGCTCATGAACGTCCAATGGTGGAGACAGGATTTGCAGGTAGTGGGGGGCAACCCCTCCAGCAATGAAAAATGATAGAGAGGAGTTGTTAGTAAGTAAGGAGTTAGTAAGGAGTTGTAAGTAAGGAGTTGTAAGTAAGAAGTTGTGAGTAAGGAGTTGTGAGTAAGTAATAAGTTGTTAGTAAGGAGTTGTTAGTAAGGTCTCGTTAGTAAGAAGTTAGTAATAAGTAAGGACTTGTCCCTTGCTTGTTACTCGACGCGTGTGCGGCGATGACGCAGACATCGATCGAGGGTCGAATTCGAACCGCGTTGTGTGATCGGTATCTCGCTCGCTGAAGGTGTCGATGCCTTCAGGGAAGTCGTGGACTGTAGACGCAGCTGCGCACAATTCTGAGTCACTTATAACCGCTTTGCCGTTACTTATTGCCAATTATGGACTCAGACTATTGTCCTATCATCTCGTAGAGTCCCTGGGACGTAATAATATGCTACACAGTGGCAGTGGGGGTCACAAAATTCCGATGTATTACTAATAAACTCCAATGATGATCCGATCGAAATCCCTCATTTCGATCGGATCATGGGGGGGGGGGGGGGGGGGGGGCACGTGCCACCCCCCCCCCCCACTGGCTCCGCCAGTGTGCAGCACATGAACGTCTAGCTCATGAACATTTAGCTCCTGAAAATCGAGCTCGTGAACGTCGACCGCATGAACATCTTGCTGCTGAGAATCTAGCGCATGCACGTCTTATCTCCTGAACAGTAAGCAGCAGGATACTTTGGTGGGGGGGGGGGTCTTATACTCCAGAGAAGACGGTGAGCTGCTTCGCTCAGTTCCTGAAAAAGCCTCCAGCATGGTGAAGCGAAACGTCGGGCATCGCGCCACAGTGCGAGCACGCAGCGCTCGCAACGTCGCACATTTGAAAACCTCCCCGAGTCTCGCGTCTCTTTTTCAGGAAGTGCGTCCCCCCCCCCTCCCTCGCTCGCTCTACACTCGGATATTGCTGGTCCCGCGTGGGACGTGTTTACCAATCATCTGGCACGGGCAGCGTGTTGGAAACTGCTTCAAAGTTTGTTTTAATGGATAAGACCTCGCAAAGGAGTTTGGGAAAGGAAACGAACCAATTCCTAATGAGTAACACGTGGGGTCGCTGTGACTGCACGTGATAAATCACCGCGGTCTCTTGAATAGTCCCCAATCTTTTTGGTTACCAGGCACCGCTTTCGTGGAAGACAATTTTTTTCACGGACCGGTGTGGGGGGGGGGGTTCATCATTGGGTCTTTCCCCCTTTTGAAAGAAGCTCTCCAGCGACGTTTGTTTTTTTTACTCCTTGTGGCTTCTAGGGGTTAGAGCTTGTGGGCTTACTCCTTGTGGCTACTAGGGGTTAGAGCTTGTGGTGCTTACTTCTTGTGGCTACTAGGGGTTAGAGCTTGTGGGCTTACTCCTTGTGGCTACTAGGGGTTAGGGCTTGTGGGCTTACTCCTTGTGGCTACTAGGGGTTAGAGCTTGTGGGCTTACTCATTGTGGCTACTAGGGGTTAGCGCTTGTGGGCTTACTCATTGTGGCTACTAGGGGTTAGAGCTTGTGGGCTTACTCATTGTGGCTACTAGGGGTTAGAGCTTGTGGGCTTACTCCTTGTGGCTACTAGGGGTTAGAGCTTGTGGGCTTACTCCTTGTGGCTACTAGGGGTTAGAGCTTGTGGGCTTACTCCTTGTGGCTACTAGGGGTTAGAGCTTGTGGGCTTGCTCATTGTGGCTACTGGGGGTTAGAGCTTGTGGGCTTACTCCTTGTGGCTACTAGGGGTTAGAGCTTGTGGGCTTACTCCTTGTGGCTACTAGGGGTTAGAGCTTGTGGGCTTGCTCCTTGTGGCTACTAGGGGTTAGAGCTTGTGGGCTTACTCCTTGTGGCTACTAGGGGTTAGCTTGTGGGCTTGCTCATTGTGGCTACTAGGGGTTAGAGCTTGTGGTGCTTACTCCTTGTGGCTACTAGGGGTTAGAGCTTGTGGGCTTACTCCTTGTGGCTACTAGGGGTTAGCTTGTGGGCTTACTCATTGTGGCTACTAGGGGTTAGAGCTTGTGGGCTTGCTCCTTGTGGCTACTAGGGTTAGCTTGTGGGCTTACTCCTTGTGGCTACTAGGGGTTAGAGCTTGTGGGCTTACTCATTGTGGCTACTAGGGGTTAGAGCTTGTGGGCTTACTCCTTGTGGCTACTAGGGGTTAGCTTGTGGGCTTACTCCTTGTGGCTACTAGGGGTTAGAGCTTGTGGGCTTACTCATTGTGGCTACTAGGGGTTAGAGCTTGTGGGCTTACTCCTTGTGGCTACTAGGGGTTAGCTTGTGAGCTTACTCATTGTGGCTACTAGGGGTTAGAGCTTGTGGGCTTACTCATTGTGGCTACTAGGGGTTAGAGCTTGTGGGCTTACTCATTGTGGCTACTAGGGGTTAGAGCTTGTGGGCTTACTCCTTGTGGCTAAAAGGAGTTAGAGCTTGTGGGCTTACGCATTGTGGCTACTAGGGGTTAGAGCTTGTGGGCTTACTCCTTGTGGCTACTAGGGGTTAGAGCTTGTGGGCTTACTCATTATGGATACTAGGGGTTAGAGCTTGTGGGCTTACTCATTGTGGCTACTAGGGGTTAGAGCTTGTGGGCTTACTCATTGTGGCTACTAGGGGTTAGAGCTTGTGGGCTTACTCATTGTGGCTACTAGGGGTTAGAGCTTGTGGGCTTACTCCTTGTGGCTACTAGGGGTTAGAGCTTGTGGGCTTACTCCTTGTGGCTACTAGGGGTTAGAGCTTGTGGGCTTACTCCTTGTGGC